CCTCCTCCTCCTCCTCCTCCTACCTCAATTCTCCCCTCCCTCCCTACCTGCTGTCCTCCCTCTCCCCCCCTTCCCTTCGTGCCCCCTCCTCTGCATTCTCCGCCCCCGAAGCGTAAACTATCGGGGCTCCGGCTGAACTTTCTTGGGTCGGCGCTGGGCCCTCTGGCGTTTGGTGTGCAGTCCACGTGTTGCCGCAGACGGGTACTCGGCGGCGGTGCCGCCCAACAAGCCGCCCAAAAAGGCCCTGGATGCGAAATGCTGAAACTGGTGGTCTTTATTTTGGCGACGGCGCCTCTGGTGAACCACAAAGTACCCTCACAAAGAGCCCTCGGTGCGCTTGGGGCTTGCATGACAACCGCTCGCATCGCTTAATTTGGCGGCGGCGGCGTGAACAACCGCCCCACACAAAAACCTGAGAGAAATCCGCCGACCCTGTCGGCATGTGTGAGAAACTTTTTTCGCTTGAGTCGTCGTCGTCGCCGTCGCCGCTCCCCCCCTTTCCCCGGGCCCTCCTCCTCAAGAGATCCAGCCAGACGGAAATCAAACAACGTCGTGGGTGATTCGAAAGGAAGCCCCTTCCCGCTGATCCCCTATAGGGGCGGGTCCCCCGGGGGGTTCGCGGGAGGGGGGGGTCCTGGGGGGCTAGCGGGGGGGGGATCCCCAGGGGGGTCCCCGGGGGGGGTCCACCCCGTGGACCCGTCATCACCGTCCCCACTCCTGTCTGCTGCTGCGGGGTGCTGCGTCTTCTCTCGCGTGCCTCCGAGGTGCCTCAGATCCGCTCCGGTGCGGTTCCAGGTGGCCACGGAACTTCCCAAGAATTCCCCCAAGAGGCCACCCCAACAAAGCCCAAATAGGCTACCAAGAGAGCCCCAAGAAGGGCTCCAGAGGGTCAGCGTCGTCGTCGTCGTCGTCTACGTCGTCGTCGTCGTCGTCGTCGTCGTCGTCGTCGTCGTCGTCGTCGTCGTCCCCCGTCAGGGTCGGCGGCACTGGCCGTAAGGCCTTCCCAATCATGAGGCAGTAGGATTAGGTCGGACATGTCCCCCTACAGGGGGATTCTGGGCGGAAAAATAATAAAAAACAAGTCATACAAAATTCAAACACTGCTATACATACGCAAAACATCGTCTCCAGACTATGTTTTGACAATCTTTGAATGTTCCCCCTGTAGAGGAACAGGCCCGACTGAACAGTAGGAGCACATTTGTCGAGCTTGTGCAGCGACCTCGGCCTTGGCCCTCGCAACGGCCATGCGCGAGCAATCCTCCAGGAGCTTGCGGTGGCCCGCGAGGTCTGACGGCCACCGCGTCACCCGGTGCGGCAGCTTCGCCGCACGGCCCTCGAAGCCCAGGCCAGCCTCGACAAGAACGATGATCGACGATCGACGACGACGACGACGGCGACGACGAGGAGAATCGACGACGACGATCGACGACCGACGGCGACGACGACGACGACGGTCGACGACGACGACGACGATCGACAGTCGACAACGACGTTCGGCGACGACGCCCATGACAATCGACAACGACGGCGAAAATCGACGACTTTGGACGATCGAGAACGATGACGACGATCGACGCCGATCGAAGAACGACGATCGACGACGATAAACGACGACGACAACGACGATCGACGACAAAGACGATCGACGACGATCAACGACGATCGCGGACGATGGACGACGACGATCGCCGACCTCCACAGCTCTCGACGACGACGATCGGCGGCGCACCCCCGAGACGGCCCCCATGGGTGACCCCCGGGACCCGCCAAGGGGGCGCACCCCGGCCAGGGTCTCGTGGCTGCTCCAGTCCGTGGCCACGAGGACGCTCAGGAAGCGCAAACACGTACGTAGAACCAAAAACTGGCCGTCGCTCGGAGGCTCATTCACCGTGTACTTTTCGGTTTCGTGCTCTCTCCCGTCGCAAGACGAGCCAGGATGCTCCTCCATGGTCCTCGCCGAGGCAGACGCACACGTCCGAGCGATGCCAAGAGAGAACGATCGATCCTCGACTCGCGCCTTGCACTCCGCGTCGACGAGCCTGGCGACGTGCCCCCACGACGGCGACGGACCCTCGTCGGCGGCCGAGGAACAGCATAACACGATGTTCGTTTCCGCCGCTGGGGACGCGTGTCCCAGGGCGGACGGAGAGGTTATGCCCCACGCGCCGCCCTAGAGGCATGCATCAACTTCCCGCTCCGAATGATCCTCGTCGCTCATCACATGTGTCCCCCACCCGGCCGCGCACATGCTCCAGGCTTCCAAGCCCCCCGCTTCGGACGCACAACTCCTACACGCCCCCGTGAAGAGCTACATTTGGGGAGGCGGTGGGGATTTACGGGGGCCGCGGATTGCAAAAATCACATCGTCGGATGTCTGGGAATGTTGCTGCCGCTGGGGAGGCTATCGTGGTATTTTTGTCGGTTCTTGGCGGCTTTCCATTGTCGTGGTAATCGTTCTCAGGTGTGCCCGGTTCGCCCAGTACGGCCGCAGGAACCAAGGGATGTATTCAAATTAGAAGAAGAAGAAGCCGTGAAATCTGGAGGAAGCATGGCCCCGGCCATGATATCCACCACCACCCTGATCATCACACCCTCCTTGGCCGACAAACGCCCTGATGTCACCTGAGAACCTACGTTGCAAACAAAACAGCACATCGACAAAAGTTCCACCAGAGCCCCGGACCCTCACCCTTCTGCCGAATGTCACGAGGTGGAGCCATTTTGTGCTGGCCTCGGGGCCCCACACGAGACAAAACGCCCAGCGAGAACAAACATGCAACGTCCAGATCTCAGGGTCCATGTGCAGGACGAGGAGGTCCTCCTCCTCCTCCTCCTCCTCCTCCTCCTCCTCCTCCTCCTCCCCCTTCCCCTCCTCCTCCTCTCCTCCTCTCCTCCTCTCCTCCTCCAGTCCTCCTCCCCCTCCTCCTCCTCCTTCTCCTCCTCCTCCTCCTCCTCCTCCTCCTCCTCCTCCCCCTCCCCCTCCCCGTCAACCGTCAACCTCCCCGTCGGCGGAACGAACTCATCGTGTACCGCCCTGCGGCCCGCCGAAACCTCGGGCGACCCGGGCGCGCTGCTCCGCGCGCCGCACGGCGGGGACGCCGCATCTGGCAGCGCACTCATGGCGGCTGCGCGCCAAGAGCCGGCCTGAAAGCTCGCTCGGCCCCCGACTTTGAGCAAAAGCGCATATGGAAGAGGCTGCTGGTAGGATTGCAGCAGCAGCCAACACCCCGCCTGAGCCAACCAAACCTTCACCCCAACCACCGTTCCTCTGGCGAATTGCTGCGGCTGCGCGACAGAATGATGGGCCAATGTTTCACCATCGCTGCCATTCGTAGGAGGGGGAGGAGGGAGAGGAGGAGGAGGAGGAGGAGGAGGAGGAGGAGGAGGAGGAGGAGGAGGAGGAGGAGGAGGGGGAGGAGGAGGAGGAGGAGGAGGAGGAGGAGGAGGAGGAGGAGGACGAGGAGGAGGAGGAGGAGAAGGAGGAGGAGGAGGAGGAGGAGGACCTCCTCATACTACACATGGTAGTGGTGGTGGAAAATTGGCCCATCAAAGGATGACCCTGGGCAAGAGTGGCCTCTTTAGGTGCGCAGCTTCAGGGGGTCGCGGGGGAGCCCAATCCAAGCGCGCAGGCCAATGACGCGGTGGGCCCCCGCAAGCCCGCGCCGAGAGGGACTGGGTCCCAATGTGTCACTGCACCGACCTTGCAGACGCGCTGCAGCGGACTTGTGCGTGTAACTTCTGCCAATGCAAAACCCCGAAACGGATAGTGAAGAAAGAAGTGAATTTCGTGTGGACTTGTTTGGAACACTCTTCACTCCTGGCCAACAAAAAAATCCGCACAACATTCGCGCCTCGAAATCCGGAGCGAAAGTCTCCAGGACACTCCGGGCCCATCCTATCGTTTTCCGAACGAAATCCGCTCCGCGATGCTGGCGCCATCAAATTGGGCAAACACATACACGTCGTTCATTTCTAGTCATGCTCATTCCTGATTGCGCTCGTTTCGGATTGTTCCTGGCCCCGTAGTGGCCAGGAAGAGGCCCAGGATAGAACAATTAGGAATGAAAGGATCTTGGCCCCCCCAAAAAAACAAATCTGCGACATCCGCTCTGCGATCCCGTTTCTGTTGGGCCACGTCTCGGGCCTCCAGCGGCCTGTCAGGACGACTCGGGCACCCCCCTAGACGCGCTGGAGGCCGACGACGATGCCTGCTGGGCCCACCCCCGGTCACGCCAGCGAAGGGCCGCTCTTCCCCCGGTGAACGCTTTTTTGTGAAGGGGCCCTGGGGCACACAAGTAAATACACACAAATAAAAGGATTCCCCATATTTTTCCATATTTTCTGGGTTTCTGTCTTCCCCCCCATTTCCCATATTTTCCCATATTTTAAGGGGAATCGACGATTAATTGTGTCTGTGTGATTTTTCCCCCCCTGATTTTGGTTCGGCGCTTCGGCGCTGGGCGGAAGGGAGGGAAGGTGGGGAGGGGGGGGCGGGGGTTGGCTCCGGACCTCTGCTCGGCGCGGCTGTCTGCAGCAGTGCGTCCTGTGGGCCGGGGGAGACTCCGCCTGCTCGAAACGGGCGCCCAGAAAGCAGCCAAGATCTGCTCCAGGGGGGGGGGGGGGGGGGAGGGCGGGGGGGGTTTGCGAGGGCCCGCGCTGATCGGCAAAAGAATGGCAACAAAAACAACGACGGCCAGACGGACTACTCCGACGGAGTGCTGGTTTCGTTGCGCGGCCGTGGTCTCGAGCCCCAAGACTCGCCCTGGGCCCGTGCTCGATGGCAGGGCCCGAGGGCGCCCTGGCCGGCACGGAGGAGAAGCCGGGACCGAAGAGCGCACACTCGAACCGGGACTGACCGTCCCAGCATTTCTGCTGGAAAACCGCCGAGAGCCCACGAAAACGTCCGAAAAGCTCCCCCCCCCCCCCCAAACGTTGCCTGTGAGACCCCCAGAACGCCCTCGGCGAGGCTGGAAGGCATCTCGAGGCAGGAAAATTGCCGCGAGCCAACAATAACGTCCAAAAACCTGATGGTGCATCTTATTGGGGAACCTCGTCTGTCCCATCGCGCCAGCCATCCCGGTCGCATCCATGTTGAGTCCACGTCGACGGCGTCGACTCCGTGTCGAATGCACGTCGACTCTACGTCGAACCCACGGCGGAGACCAAGACCAGACATTCACAGGACAGGCTAGGTTCGTTAAAGGCTTAACGACTTCTGCCATCCTTCGACTCGCGCTGGAGCGGCCGCGAATTGCTCCAACTTTCCCTGGAGATCTCTGGATTTACCTGGATTTACCCTGATTTATCTCGACTTACCTGGATGTACCTCGACTTATCTGCATTTACCTGGATCTATCTGGCTCGATCCCCACAAGTCGATCGGCGAAGAGTCGACAAGCCCTTAGGGATAGGTCCCCCCGAAGACGCAAAGTAAGGAACCTCCTCCCTACGGTCAGGAACTTCTGCATAGCGTGGCGCGGCAGCGGCCCCGGCGACACGCTGTGCCTTGCAAGCGGATGGCGTGTCGCCCCCGCTCCGCGGGGGCGGGAGGCTCGGGAAAGCTCGGGACGTTGGCCTCTGGGAATGGGGACGTGGATAGAGTGCCGCGCCCCAGCGTGGTGGGCCAGAACTGGCGGCGCGACACGCGAAGCCAAAGTTCCTGACACGTGCGCCAGACGCACGCTCGCCTCGCGCTCGTGCTCTTCCTCCTATTCTTCTTCCTCCTCCTCCTCCTCCTCCTTTTGCAAATTCTATCTCCTGAACCTCCTCTTCACCTCCCTCCCTCTCCCACTTCTCCTTGTCTTCCTGGCATCAAGAGTCGCCCCCCGAACGCTGCCCCCGGAGGGGGGGGATAGAGGGGAAACCCGCTCAAAATCGGACCCCCAGACTCTCAGACACCTCCCAGGATCCATTTGAAAATATTGACCCCGGATCCGTTTGCGACGGTCCGGGGGCCCAACGACGGCCCCCGGTGGCCGAACAACTAACAAAACCTTGCCGAACCCATAACCTCGAACCCGGCCCCGCGACCTGCTGGCCGGGACCAGTGCTGGGCCACCTTAGATCCCCAGCTGGCTCCAAAGCTCATCCCCCCCCCTTTGGTGGCAACGACAGGGCGGACCAGCTCATGGGGGGAACCATCGACCGGGAATCAGCAAGACTTGAGCAGGGACCGACCGTCCCAGCATTCCTGTAGGCCTAGCACGGAATGCTCCTAGAACCCAAAACTGTTCTATGAACACAGACAGTGCGTGTTCGTAGAACGTTAGCCCGATGTGCAAGCACGAGACAGTCTCGGCCAGAACTGTCCCGAGAACAGTTCGCGCAGACCACCCAAGGTTCTTGGGACATGTCTTGGTGGGCCTACAGAGAAGGCGGGACGCTTCGCCACTGCTCGAGAGACATCGCCGACAGGTCGGCGCCATGACCCCGATAAAGGGGGTCCTCACGGTCCTGGGCGGGCCTGGGCTGTCGGGCCCCTGTCGGCGAGGAGTAGGCGATTGCGGGTCGATGCGTCCACCCTGAGTCTATCCCCCCCCATGAGGGTTGCCCTCCTCCTCCTCCTCCTCCTCCTCCTCGACCTCCTCCTCCTCCTCCTCCTCGCCCTCCTCCTCCTTCCTTCCTCCTCCTCCTCCTCCTCCTCTCCCCTTCCTCCTCCTTCTCTCCCCTCCTCCTCATCCTCCGCCTCCTCCTCCCCACCTCCTACTCCTCCTCCTCCTGCGCCTCTCCTCCTCCTCCCCCTCGTCCTGCTCTCCTCCTCTCCTCCTCCTCCTCCTCCTCCTCCTCTTCCCCCTCCTCCTCCCTCCTCCTCCTCTCCTCCTCCTCCCCCTTCTCCTCCTTCTCCTCGTCTTCTTCTGCTTCTTCTTCTTCTTCTTCGTATTATTAGGGTCATCAGTAGTATTACTATTATTATGATTATTAGTATTATTATCATTATTATTATTCTTATTATTATTGATATTATTATTATTATTCTTATTACTATTATTATTATTACTATTGTCATTATTGCTATTCTTCATATTAGTGGTATTATTCTTAGTGTTATGAGCATGATCAGTATTCGGCTTA